GCAAAATTTGGTCACAGGTTCCTTCTAGTTCTCCACAAGCTGGTACCATAAGCATTGTTCACCTGTTTAGTCATCCAAAATCCTTCCTTTTCCATATTTAGCCTTTATCAACTTGCCCCACAAAGCTTGTTCCTCCCTGGTAAACCTCCAAAGGCACTTCATCAAAAGACTTTTATTCTGCATTCTCAAGTTCCTGACCCCTAGACCTCCCTTCTTTTTGCTGAAGGTCAAAGTTTTCCATTTAACTAAATGAAAACCCTTCTCTTTATTTTCATGCCAGGGGAAATTTCTTCTTCAGGTGTCCCGCCTTTTCTCTATATTTGCAGGTATAGGAAATAAGGACAACATATATGTAGGGAGAGCATCTAGCACAGAGTTAATGAGAACCAATTTACCACCCATAGAAATGTAATTTGATTTCCATCTTGCTAACTTTTTCTCACATCTTTCTGGGACTCCATTCCAGATATCATTGGATTTGCTCTTTGCTCCCAAAGGCATCCCCAAATACGTGGTTGGAATAGTACCAATTTCACCTCCCAAAATCTTTGCCAGCAGCGGAATTTTAGGCACTTCATTAACTGGAATTTTTTTACTTTTTCTCCAATTAATATGAAGCCCATAAATAGCTTCAAAAAGTATAAGAAACTCTTAAATACTTTACTTGGTTCTCATCTGCATCACAGAAAATGAGGGTATCATTTGCATATTGAAGATGAGCAACCTCCAACTTGTCAGTTTGGATCTATGCCACATTGAAGCCCCTTGTCCATCTATTGCCCTGTGCAGTTTTTACCATATTGTAGTTTTTACAAAATTCCTTTGTGCGAGGCTTTTTTTGCTTTTGCAAGTAGAATTGAAGTTCATCAATATTCCTGCTACTGGTTTGAGTGTTAGAAAATGTAGAAAAAATATTAAAACTATCAAGGCCTTCTTCATCATCCACAGTAGCAGAAGTGCTACATTGCATAGCGGGATTAACATTGCCAGAAGCACGAGCAGCATTATCACATTCATTTGCATAATAATTATATAGTTGTTGTAAATATTCATTTAGCTTGTTCATAGAAACATATAAATTTGGGGTTTCAGTTTCTCCAATCTCCAATCTCCATATAAGTATATAAAGTACAAAAAAAAATATCCAACGGATATGTGATGAAAAATCTGATTTTCCAACGGATAGTGGGCCCCACTCTGCAGGAAAGTACAATTTTTTTTTCTGACAGTTAACCGGTCTGGGCCGGTCCGGGTTAACCGGTTCGGGCACTGTTCATGCCAACCGGGTTACCCGGGCCCGGTTAACCGCTTGCCCAAACGAACCCCTCCGTCCCCGGCCTAACCCCCCTACCCAGCCCACCCGGCCCCCTATGAACCGGGCCGGTCCGGTTCCGGTTTAAACCGGTCCGGGCCGGTCCGGTTCCGGTCCAACCCGGCCCGTTAGCCACCTTTAGTTTGTACTATCTTCTGCATGTCCTTGCTGCCTCCCACCCCATCAGTTTGTAGACCCTCACCATCAATATTAGTCATGGCATCTTCATATTTATCACCATCTTCTTGGTTCATCAGTTGTTCTCTCTCCTGCAGGAGAGACAAAGAATTTTCTCTTTCTTTGTTTTTTTTCTCTTCTGAAACTTGAGCAACATTAACTGGATAAAACAGTTTGCTTCAATCTCCGCGACTAATGGGTCCACTTTATTCCAATTGGGCATAAGGGACAGGGCCGAAATTAGAAATTGAGCCTCCTCACTTAAAACAGAGTCCAAAGGCTTCTTTTGAGAGCTAGCCTTTGTGGGGTAAGTAGGTTTATGGGTCAGTGTAAAACCTGAGTTAAATACATTATTAGCCCTCTAGACACCAACACGTGCCCCTTCCATTTATCAGTTTTTGGACTGGGCACGTTTCTTGATGTTCCCACGTGACCATCCCCTTCTTTAATACCTTCAAAGTAGGGTTTCATTACCCAGCGATCAATACTCTGCTTCCTTCTCCCATCGTCATCTTCTCCCGCAGCCACTCTCGTCGGAGATTCACACCAAATCGGTATAGTAAAAGTTAATCCCTTGTCTACTATTACCACTTCCTTCGACGCTTTCTCCCCATCACCTCTAACTTTAAATCTTGCCCATTTGAGATGGTTCTTTAAGGAGGTCTCTTCCTCAGTTTCCAACCAGCCACCACAAAGATCTCCAATAGCTTTGAAAATTTTCTCAGTCCAAAAATGCATTGGAAGACCCATAGGTCTAATCCATGTCCAATCTCTTTTTTGATTGATAGAACAACCACCGGCCGTCGGGGACCACCATTCCAGATGGATTTTTGCTCGCTTCCACCTCCATTCCCCTTTAAGGATGTGTTCTGCCATGTGCTTGTTCGGAAATTGGAAAAGAAAATTGGGTCCAGCCATTTCATAAACATCGACTCCAAAGAGCTCACGGACCACCGCCGAATATCAGCAAGAGTTGGTTTTTCGTCCAACCCCTCTTCAAAACTTCCAACAATGCATCTGCTCAGCAAACCATCATCAGTATTGACATCACCACCGGAAATTAATATTCTGTTGTTGGGACCATTTGTAATGTGGACTTCATCGCACTCCTTTGTCTGCCATTTGCTGACTTTAACCAGTATTTGGAAAAGCGATCGCTTCGTCGCTTTAAGCGCGAAGCGACAGGGCATCACTTTTTACTGCCTGAGGCGACACAATCGTGTGAAGCGCACGCTTTAGTGAAAAAAGCGACAAGGCGACAAAGCGAGTGAAACGATCGCTTCTGTTAAAAAATCGCAGCTGGGCCCTTTTCTTTTTAAAAAAAAAAATTGGGTCTGTTTGTAAAGTATACAAAACAGACCCCTAAGCTCGCTATTACAGATCCTCGACAAAATAGAGTGTAAACAGACGCCTTCTCTCTTCTTCATCGCAAAACCAGGGTTTCTGCCATTTCTCAGTCCAGGTAAATTCTTCTTCTCCTCCTTATTTTTTTCTTTCTTCTTTCTTTCTTCTTCTTGTCCAGATTCTCCTTTTTTTTCTTTCTTTTTCCTTCTTTCTCTTCTCTTTTTCACTTTTTCTGGTCCAACGTCAGCGTCTGCACAGCTAGGGCAGTCGCTGTTTTCTTTTTTCCCCCCCTTTTATTCTTCTTAATTTTAATATGTATTTTAGTTTATAAAATTACTTATTATATATATGTGTTATATTTTTCAGTTTATTTGATTTTCTAATGTGTATTTCAGTTTATAAAATTAATTATTTTATATATGTTATAATTTAGTTTATTTGATTTTTTTAATATGTATTTCAGTTTATAAATTAATTATTATGTATATGTTATNGTGTGTGTGTGTGTGTTATATTTTAGTTTATTTGATTTTTTTAATATGTATTTCAGTTTATAAATTAATTATTATATGTATATATATATATATATTATTATAACACTGGGTTGTTGTTGTTGTATTATATGTATTATATGTATTTTAAGAATTGCGCTTTACTTCAACTTCGCTTTTGAAGCGAGGCGAGCCCTGTCACTTTTTTGCGCTTCGCTCTCAAAAACACTGACTTTAACAGACGAAGCATAGGGAATTTTTGGATCTGCCTTCTTGGGACCATTTGTAATATAAGGCCTTTTTTTTTTCATTAATGAAGTTCCTGATCTTAAATGCGATTTCATTCCATCCCGCATTAAATGTAACTTCTGGAATAATAGTTACTGCTCTGTTATCGCCTTGGACAGAAACAATGCTTATAAATCTTCCAAACTTGTTGTATTTCCTGGAACTGTAGATGCTGAATATTGCTCCTTTAGCTGCCATTTCCTTACAAATGTACCAGCATCTTTTGAGGCCTCTTGAAGAACAAAACACAACCACTCCATAGTTTTCCAGCTAAAAGTTGATCTGCGCATGAGATTTCGACTCCTTTCCACCCATTCAAACCAAGTTTCTGCTCTTGATTCGAGTCTTGTAATGTCATACGATTTGATTCCAGCTGCAAAGTAAATCCTATTATCGCCCATAATGAACCAGAATTAGTTTTAAGATTAATCACTAAAGGATGATTAAAATTAAAAACTCTGTGAAGGACGTCAGAGAGCTAATTTACGCCGGAAAAGAAGTGTCTTTTCCTTCCACTTTTTCAAATTGAAAAACATAAAAAATATATTATTCATCGTATTATCCAAGATATGAAACGATCAAGCATCTAGTTACTGAGGTAAGTTCGTAAAACAACATTTATTCTAAACCTGCTGTTGTAAATCGATAATAGCATCTAAGACGTATAAGCCCAAAACATTATGTATCCAGGGAATATATTCTAATTTGGTTTAGGACATTCCTGTTGCTTACAATTGTTAAAGAAAATAAAATGTTTTGCCCCATGGAATATCTTTGTTTTCTAGTAATGCCGTGTCCTAGTATCCTCATTGGACGTGTTACTTTGTGTTCATCACTGCTTCTGCTTCAATGTTTTCTTCGTGAAGATTGAGGAATCATTGCTCATCTCTTTGATAGTGACCGTTTGATCAAATGCTGGGTTTCCTCTCTTTGCCTTTTGCTGTTGGTTATTACTTCGTGGGTGTGCTTTTTCCGCTGTATAATTTCTCAGTTAATTACTGTAAATCTTCTAGCCTTCAAAGTTGCCCAATTAACAACTCCAGATGTGCATCTCATGAATGTCGTGAAAAAACCCTGCTTCTGAATCAATTATTCCACCTCGTAATGTTCAACACCATATTTTCAAATCCTTGACTCAATTACACACTTCTCTGGTCTTCACTTTTTTTATTTGTCTTTCTTGTTCAGTATTTTTATCTTTTCAACTCCAGCCAGACTGTTGTCTGTTACTGGTATATATAGGGTTAATTGAAGTATTGAACATAATCGAAGTTATTGGACTTAATTATGTATTTTCTTACTTGTATTTATATATTTTTTTAGTTCTTTAAAATTTCTGATACCATCTTTGTTGTTGTTCTTCCTCCGTTTTTTGGGGGGAACTTCAGATTCATGTAAAAGAAAGTCTGTGGCGATCGTTAGAGGAAGACATGATTCCAACATTGTCAAGTAAGAGTAATTGGCTGGAACTGCAATCTAAAATTTTGCCAAAGAAGTTTAAAGAATCAAATATTTGTGTAGCTGGAGGTAAGTGAGATCCTATTTCATTATTGATAAATTTGAATGTCTTACTCCTGTCTTTTGCTGATGAGCTTTTGTTAACCCATGGTTGAGTTTGTTGTGTCATTAAAAGAAAGGCTGCAAAATGCATCTAAAAGGCATAATTTCGTCAAATTGTCTGGAATTTATAGATGGGATCAAAATTGAACAGGAATTTCCAGATCAAATCTAATACCCTGAATTTCTTGACTGACTTATGATCTGTCTGATTTTTCTTATTTATGGAATTTTCTTGTAAGGATGATAAAAAAAACATGTACAGAAGAAGAACAAGGAGGTGGAGGATTAGCAATAGGTATTCCATAGGAATTAATTTGTGTATTGGAGGGTAAAACTCGTAGTTGCCATAATGGTAAGTTCAAGACAAGTAAGGGTGATTAGCAATAGCCTAAAATCTACGAATTTGATTTTCTCCAAGCAATACATACATTGGTTTTTTGCTTTTCTGCATTACCTTCTTGTTAATTTCCTAATTATCTGAGTTATTCTTGCTTCATTTTTGCAGAGGCAATTGGGTTAGCCATTGAATTCAAAAATCCACTCCAAATACCTGTTTCAGTATCTGGTGTTACCCTAATTTGTGAACATTCTCCAGCAGTATCTGAACCTAGTAAGTAGAATAGGCAGTTTAATGCCATCTTCTTTCTGATTGTCGAAAAAGAAAAATGCTATCTTCTTTCTACAACTCCATGTCTGGCCCAAAATTCTCACCCTTTTCTTTTGAGAGCCAATTTATTGAATTTTGACCACAATCTTAACAACTTTATATGTCAAAAAGAAATAATTTTCCCCTGTAATAATTGTCATGTTGCTTTCAGATATCCAAATATTTTGTGTAATTTTTTTGTAGCAGTGGTCAAATTTTCCTTCAAAAAGCATAAATTTAAGAGTTTTGGGATGAAGAAATTACTTATTTTCATTCCCTTCCACCCGACAATGAAATTAACAAACCTTTTCAGTTTGTTCCTTCACAAATATCGTCTCCCATAATTCGACTATTGCAATATCCCCAATTACAGTTAGTTCTATTGGGAACGATGTAGATGCGAATAATTCAATTGGTGATCAAAATGGTGAGACATCAAGCAAATCGGCCACTAGTGGGTAAGTATGTAAAAACTTCTAGAGTTCGACTTTCCAGCTCGATTATGTATTTTTGGATGCGAATTTTATCCCTTTACACATGCTTATCATGCTGCTCATGTTGTTTGATGCTTCAGGAATTTTACTTCTGATACATCTTTATTTACATTATCGGAGGCTGACGTTGCCTTAGGAGAAGATGAAACAGTACTGGTGAGTTTTTGACAAGTAATTGAACATGTCTATCGGGCTGCTTGTAGATTTTATTTTGTCTTTTTCTTGTCCTCCCTGTTCTACTTGGGAGGGGTGCTTAAGCTGTTACTGGTAAAGATGGCATAATTTTTTGTTTCTAGTGTAGTAACATAGGCGTAATAAACATCCACCGTCTAGCAGTTGAGATTATTTATGAAAGACTGGAGCTTGTAAATTTGGGGGCTCAGCAAAATTCAAGTAGATGGAAGGAAGTGCTACATCTTCACTTTTGTATCCTTTCCTCCACTGTTGAAGCTCTCCATTACCTTTTACATGGCTAATCAGTTAAATTGTCCAAAGCTTAGAGGTCCGGGGATTATGATTTCAGATGCAAATAGCACCAAAATACTTTTCTATCTGATTTTTCAATTAAATTAGGGTTCACTATTGTGTTTTCTACTAACAAAACTTATCTCATCAATCTTTTTGCTTAAATCATAAACTAGACTTGCCCATTGCCTTGCTCTCTGTTGTTTGCTGGTCAAACAGACAAGGCATTAGCTACACACAGAGTACTTCCTTTTCATTCTTACATTAAACTACCAGTTCTATTTGCGTATTTTTAATGCTAAGGAAGCAGTAATTTGCTGTATGTTGATTGCCTCTTTCCCTAACTCTGTGTGTGTGTGTGTGTGTAGTACTTCTATATATCTAGTTTTATGATGCTTTAAGAACTGAGGATTTAGGTTTTTCTTCTGTAGATATTGGTTTAATCAGAATACGAGTAACATTGAAAAAAACTAGCCATTTTGTCCATGACTTGTCTGAAAGAATTCGAGTATTCAACCCAAAACCTTAAGGCAATAAGTGGAGTAACCCAAGGTCTTTATATACCCCCTCCAGCACGTGTAACTTCATTTCGGCATACACACGTAAACTTCGATGCGGACTTACATAAGTGAGAATGGACTAACCAAAAGTTGGCTATGATGCCATGCAATAGAATTTGAGCATCCAACTCAAAACCTTTAGGCAAAGGCGGAAGTATCCCAAGACCCTTATAGATCTCTTTGGAAGCCCTTAAACAATCCATTTCATACAACTATATAACTCGACACACTAGGGTGTTTTGTGGAAAATTACAGGTCTACCATGGTTTATTCCTTTTATGCTGAGGTTGCACCTGTTATGCTTAGCAGGATGCCTGTAGTTTCTTTGGTGGCCATTGCTCCTTCTTTGTTGGGAGGAAAGATCTGTACCTTCTTTTGCAAGTGAGTATCAAACTTTGACGTTCATTTTCTAGTAATGGGATTGTCCGTCTTGGGACACTTCAGTGAAGAAACCATAGCAGATTGAGTTGTTGGATTTTCTGGAGGCATTAAAGGGAGGGAAAAGATAGAAACGTGTAAGAGAGCGGGGAAAGAAGGGCACAAATTTGAGATAGAGTTGGGGAAGCCGGAGAGTTATGCTCTGTTTGCTCAACTGCTGGGAACTGAAGTCAATGAGAAAATGGGAGCGGCGGTTTCACTATTATAATTAGTTTTCTCTCTTTGAAGACACTTATTATGGGCTGACCTAAAGCCTTTGTCCAGAGTCTTTTAAATTTCAAAATCATTGTTAATTATGCAGTTAAATGTATAATATCATGTGTCTTTGCTAATATTTCCCAAAAAAAATAAAAAGAAGACATATCACCTTTCAATTGCACAAAAACCTTAACAGGTTGAAAGGTCTGCATTTATGCATTCAGCTGCGTCTTTTTTCATTTTCACCTTTAAAACATTGGAAATGATCGTTTACGAAGTGTCTGAGTTGATTGTGGGAGGGTGACTTTGTTTGACCATGTAAATTTATAAGAGGGCTAAAGAATCTTTAGATTGGAAAGCATTGTTTTTTCCGAATTCGCAGTTGATGTCATGTCAATCTCCATTTCCTCAATAGACTTAGAGACATTCTCTGTCTCATTATGTTCTACAGGAATTGGCTGGAAAGTCGTCTTGCCTCTATCATTAGTTCGGCTAGGCCTAGCCTATAGGCTTAGGTTCCGGAGTCGGTCGTTGGTAGAAACAAGCTCCCATACTCCCTAGTCCCTTCCAGCCAAGCCTGTTAGAGTGGTATTGCTCAAGTCAGGTGTTCCTCTCTTTTGAAAGGAGTCTGAGGAAAAACAGATTAAAGAGCTATGCTATTGCTTTGAACCCTTTTTATCATTTTGTTTGAAGCGGGCCAAATGGAGACTTAAATGCCAAACAACAGGGAAAAGTTTCCAACCCTTTTGTTTGTGATATTCTCTACGTTGCGTAATTTTGGACCCATTTCACTATTTACACGCAGTTTGTTTGCTTTTCGGTCTTATATTGGATATTAGTTAATTTGTTGCTAAAAATAGATTAATTTGTTTCTTGAGAATAAACAATTAACTACAGCTCATTTCCGAACTATTTGGGGTTAAATTTTTCGACAATAATTTATGTGTTTAGAAGCCATATGAAAATAATTGTAATTGTAAACTTTTCCTATTTGGAAATGACAACATAATATATTTAAAGATGTTGATCAAAGATCACTTCTTTGACTCCCAGGTAAAAAAAGCTGGAACTAAAATGGGACAGGGGGAGTAATAGGTAAACACAAATCTTGGTTTACATCTTGTATTAGAGGGAAAACAAGTCTCCTCCCTGGACTTGCAGTAGTTTTAATTTAGATGTTCATGATCCAATTCTATAGGGCTGCGACCGGCACGGTGGGCTAATCCACCAGGCGAACCCTGTATCTCATAACTACTGAAGTAGCTACCATCCACAATATTGGTAATAAAGCATTAACATAAAATTAACATATACAACTCACGTTTCGATTTAAACCCAAGTACACCCACTAGTGAGTAGATGTAGCATTACACTAGATTTCTGTACAATCGAAGCGTTTGGAACAGAAACAGAACAGCTAACTCTAGTGCCCACGATGAAGAATTGGGGCTCACTGATGCTAGAAGCACTAGCTGCTACTTGTTCATATGTGGGTCTAAATCTGTGTGTGTAAAACACGAAAGTGAAGAGTAAGTCTACTGACCCAATGAGCAAGTTGATAAATGATCACTATAGTTAGACTCAATAGAATTTGATCAATCCTATTTTCTGTCGTTAAGGTGGAAAACTGAACCAATAATCATCCTTGACTGTTGGGACAAGAATTTAAACATGCTTGTACTAGTCACAATCCGTAATGAAAGTAAATTTTTTTCCCGTCACTCATTTCTGAATCTAAAACAAATATCATATTCATATTTTGGTGGATAATCACATCTCAAGAGTTAGAAACCATGAGCATCGGATTCAATTTCAGCATTCCGATCCCAACCCGATTGGCATCTGTAGGATGCACATCCATCTCACGTAGATTTACCCGATTGGCATCTGTAGGACACACATCCATGAGCATCGGGGATTCTATTTTAACACTTACATATCAGTGCATCTGGAGGTCGATGTAGGACATGAAACCATCTCAAGCGACCTGCTCTTATTTTTATCCTCAATGTGTGCTACTTGTACCTCCTAGCAGATGTAGCTACTTGTACCTCCTAGCAGATGTAGTCATTTTTAATGGTATGTAATCTTGTATGGACGCACATCCATTTTAGCATCCATATCTATAACACTCATTTTGTGGATATGCTGGTTTTTAGTGGCCATATGTTCACTACCATATAATATTGCCGATCTTATTGCTGTTCTGTAGAACTTACCATTCGCTTCAGTAGGCTCTATCACAAAACACCTAGGCAACACTTCCCCATTTCAACCATCCAGTTTAATTTAGGGGTGGCGAATGGGCTATTTGGGCTGGTCAAGATGGGCTAACTCATCTAAATCATTAGATGGGTTATTGCCCAACCCTGCCCAAAGTTCACTTGGGTTAAGATGGGCTAAACAATGAGTTGTAACCCAACCCGCCCAAATTGACCCAAATCTTTGCAATATTCTCAACTTTTAAAGAAGCATATATGAAATATTCTCACATATATAATAATGATTTTTATTTTTATTTTTCGTTAATATCATTCTGGAATGGTTTATGATGTTTTTTCTTTTTTCCTGTTGCTTCTTGTCTTATGTTTTGGAATAAATGTCAATTCTTGCCTAATGATTTCTTTCCTCAATTTAGATTTAGAATTTTATTGTTCTTTATCTTATAATACTAACAAAGATCAGAATAATAAAAAAGTAGTATAATTAGAACTTCCCACCCACCCCAACCCACTCTCACCACCCCAAATCTCACCGTACTCCCGAACCTCTACCCCTACATTAAATAAAAAATATTATTTAGAGTACTTTCTTTTAATGTTGTAGATAGAGTATTTCCTTTTTCATT